AAAAAAGAGAAAAGAAAACAAGAAATATGAACAAACATGTTTTTTAAAAAAAAAAAAATGAAGTAATTTTTTTAAATTTAAGTACATTGTGCCAAAATGTAATTGTTGTAATATTTATTTAAATAATAATAAATAAATAAAAATTTTAAATAATATATATATATAATAAATTGTAAAATACTTTAAGTATGATAATTTTGTTGCAAGGGAAGTTAAAATAATTTTTTTTTTTTTTCAATTCTAACATATATTTAAACTTCATTTTGAAATTTATCCAAAATAAAATAAAATGAGGACAAAATTAAAAATTTTATCTTAAAGATAATAAACATTGTGAAGGAGTTAAAAACTGCGTAATTATATATATAAATAAATAAATAATTTCATTTAATTTTTTTACATTTTAAATATTATTATTTAATACGTCGTACGAATTATTTTATCCGAAAATAAATGAAAAATTATTTCCCCACCCCCCACCCCCCACCCCAAAAAAAAAAAAAAATTTAATTTAAACAATAAATAAATATTATTATTTTCACGCTTCTTTTTTTTTTTGTATTTGTTTTTTTTTTGTTTTTTTTTTGAGGAAATATGTTCACCTAAATATTTTTGTTTCTTATCAGTGTGATAACAAAACATCAAATCGTGATAATGAATAATGAAAACGTAAATAAAAAAAATTTATCAAAAAAAACAAAAAGTTTACAAATATCTACTTTATATATGTTAAGTGCGTTTAAAAATTAAAAATATTTTACTATTTTTTTTTAACGAATCCTCTTCCATTTTTTTTTTTTTTCACAGAGCCTTACAATAATAATAATAATAATAATAATATTTAATCATAATTATTAAGTAATTGATGATAATTAATCGATATTAACTGACCGTTTGAAATTCAATATAATAATAAATCAAATTTTTATCGATTTCGTTAATTAATTAAATTTGAAATGATGGCTGAATGACTTATTTATATATATATTTACAAATTTTTTTATTTTTTTATAATCGGTCTTACAATAAAAATTTTCAAGTTTTTTTTCCCTTTAAATTTGATTGTTTTCGATTGCTGAATAAATGAAAGGAAATTTCAAAATTTAAAATTAATTTAATAAAAAATTACTCAAAAAACGCACGACTAGGACAAAATAATTTATAAACCTTCAAAAAATTAAATTACATGGCCAAATATTATTATTATTATTATTATCATTATTATTTGATAGGTATAATTCACATCTTGAATAATTTGATCGGATGACAATTTTAATGTAAAAAATAAAACAAACCGATGATGATGACGTCATGGTTTTTCATTTAAAATAATAATAATAAATCAAACGCGAATAAAAACCACGAAAATTTTTAAACACTTATTAATAATTTTCTTCACTATATCAAGGAAAAACAAAACGAAAAAAGGTTTCTACGCGCAAAATATGCCAAAAAAAAAAAAAAAAAAAGAAAAAAGAAAAACTAAATGAAAGTAGATTGGCCACGTTTCTAATAGAGACTGCCTTTGATGGAATAAAAAATTTCAGCGACAATTTTCTCCTCCATGTTTAAAATCGATAATCCAGCTGACACTTTTCTTGCAAATGCGCTTAAAATTCCCGCCTTTTTTTTTTGAAAAAATAACAATACATTTATATTTTACTTAAAAATAATTGGCACGTAACGTAACGTACATAATATACCAATAATATTATTATTATTATTAATGTAAGAATTTTTGTTTTTCCAAAAATTTTCTTTTAATTAAGTATAAACCCACATATATTATTAATTACACTCGATCAGCCATATTTGTTTGGAAGTAAAAAGTTTTTTTATAATTCCTTGCATATATATATATAATAATAATTTACACTCCAGCAGAAGAAATTTTTAAATGACGTCACAACAAATAGAAAAACAATGATATATATATATATATATATATATATATAGTTTAATTAAAACATATATTAAATTTTTATAAATGAATAATAATTTTAATTTCGAGTAGTATTTATTAGCAGAAGATTTTAATTTATTATTTACTTGTTTGATAGTAATAATAATAATAATAATAATTTTTTTTTAAATTTTTCATAGGTTTCTTTAAAGTTTGTTTTTGCTTTTTTTATATTCAAATCAAATCTTAAAAAAAGATCACATGATTTAAAAAATTTTAATTACGAATTATTATTATTATTATTATTATTATTATTATTATTATTAAATATTTTCACTTTCAAATGATTTTTCCTATCATAGAGTAAAAAAAAAAAAAAAAATTGTTTCGTCGCATAAAGTTTTTAAAATGAGTTTTTAATCCAAGACACGAATTTCTTTTTTTTCAAATGTAAATTTTTTATTTACGTGATAAATATTAAAATAAAATTTTATTTTAAAAATTCTGAACCACAGAAAACAAACGTTAAATAATTTGGGGGGGGGAGTGGGGGGTATTTTAACTTTAATCAAATTATTAATATAAATAAAATAAATTTTCATTTATTTATTTATTCGACTTCTACGTAGATTTTAATCATTTTGCTATTTTTTTTTAATTCGAAAATTTTTTTAAAATAATAATGATAATAATAATAATAATGATAACTTAATTTCCCTTTAGAAATTTATTAAAGCCGTGCCCACGGAAATTAAATATAATTTCAGGTCAGAGATTGACCATAAGGTGAACATAGAATTTTATTTTCCGCCATTATTATACCACCAACCAGTCTTAAAGTCTTAATCTTTCTTTTTTTTTTTTAACTAAGAATGTCTTTGCATGATTTTTACGTAATGGAAATAATACTAAAAATAGAAATGACGCCGTTTCTGCATGTTTGTTTGTTTGTTTGTTTGTTTGTTTGTTTTCAGTTTTAAGTTTTACTTGATGAAAAATTTTTATTATCAATTAATTAAAAAAAAAAAGTTTTTTTCATGAGTCAATCGTCGTGGCAAACAACGTCAACATCATAGAAAAATTATTTAATTTATTTATATATATATATATATATATATATATATATAAATTCTCTCTCTTTCTCTCTCTCTCCCTCTCTCTCTCTCTCTCTCTCTCTTCGTACATAAACATTTTTAAAAAAAATTTTCAATTAAGATTCTTAATAAAAATTAAAAAATAATTTGCTTTCAATGAAAATAACAAACAAAACACACAGTTGCTATTTTTTTAGTTTGAAATTTAGTCAACGTTTTAGTTTTAGTTTTTGCTGCAAATTATACAAGGACTAAAAAATGATTTTAAGACTAAAAAAAGAAATTAGTTAAGCTTGTAAAAATTTATGTGAGAGGATCTCTCCGTTAGCAACCGCAATAAAAAAAAAAAAAAAAAAAAAAAACTTGTTTTGTTGCTCTCTTATTATAACTTTTATCATCTCGCCAACCTTTTTTTTCTTTTGCAAATTTTTATTCTTTAGTTAAAACATTTAAACAAAAATAAAAAAAAATGTTCTAGAATTTTCTATCTAATGAGTATAGATAGACGTCTAGTCGTGTATTTTTTTTTAAAAAAAACTCAATAACTACGTGATATTGAAAATATTTTAAGTGGCCTTCGGTGTCACTAACAAAATAATTTTTTTTATTAGGTAACGACATATTTGTAAGACTCTTAAAATAAATTTTTTTTTTCCTTTTTGTTTCCTTTTTTTTTCCTTTTTTTCTGTACTGATAATAATAATGCGATCAAAAAAAAAAAAAATCAATGTTTACTCCTTTAAAAAAAAACAAAAACTAGGTCAAGACGTGAAATTTCCGCCATTTCGTGTCACGTCCGATAAGAAGAATTGTAAACCGATAATTAAAAATTAATTTATTTAAATAAATAAATTAATAATTTTTTATATAAATCGTTTTAAATAAAAAAAGGACGTGGAAGTAGAAAATTAATATAAAAGTGAATTTTAAAAAAAATTAATAAACGATGATAAATAAAACCAAAATCCTCAAATTTTTTTTTTACTTTCTTTTTATTTCCAACAAAATAATAATTATTATTATTATTTTCATACAATTATATTTTAATATTATATATTAATATTATTGTAAATAATAAATAATATATTTTTTTTGTAAATTAATTTTCTAAAAAGAAAATTTTCCATAACGTTTCAAATGAAAATTGTTAACGTACGCTTAGATAATATTTAAAAAGGTAAATTTAATAAAAATTAGAAAGAGAGAGAGAAAGAGAGAGACACACACATATTTATTATTATTATTATTAATTTGGGTGTACTCCAAGATTAAATATCTTTCGAAATACTTTTATATTTAAATAAAAAAAAAAAAAAAAAACTTTTGTAAAGTTTAACATTCACACTCATGTACAACAACAACCATAAATTTTTTTTTTTCGTGTAAAAACAAATAATAGTAATAATAATTATTATTATTATTATTCATTTCCGTTTTTGTTTTTTAAAGAAAAGAAACTTCCAAAATAAATATATATATATATAGCAAATGCGAATCATTCAAGGTGAAAAAAAAAAAATTTCAAGATGTCAGACAAAATGAAAGTCGGCCGTGGAACATAAAAAAAAAAAAAGTTTTGTGTTCAAAGGAAAACGATAATAATAATAATAATAAAAATTTATGATTTAGTCGAACTTGAATCCTTTTTTTTTTTTTAAATGGAGGCTTTTAAATATATATATTTAACTATCAACTTTTTTACGACTTTTTTTTTTTTTTTATACAAACGAAACTTTTCCAGAATGTTCCGAGTTGTCTTAGGTTAAGGTAAAATAGAAAATTTTAATAAAATTTGTTTATCTAATTTTTTCTTATAAGACTCCTTAATTCTGACGATGATGATGATGATGATATGAGGGACGAAAATTCCGTTCACCGGAAATTTCAAAACGCGCCGGAAATTCCGGTTTAAATAATTCATTTCCGGAAAATAATAATAAATAAAAATCTTACCTTGAAGTTGATAGATTGTTGCTTGATATTCTGCTAATTTTTCATCGATGTAATCCTGACTTTGAGCAGCTATTATATCGGCTGTTGCTCTTTCATTTTCCGAATGGGTTGGGGGCTCTAAAGGAACCCCGGTAAATGTAGGACTCGAATACCTGTCGTAAGGAGAATAATAATAATCTGAATAATGTGGAACGGGTGAGGGAGCGTAAAAGGGTTTGGGTGAATGAGGAGGATACATGGGTATGGGAGATGGACAATAACCAGGGGGTGGTGGTGGAAATCTAAGGGGAGTCGGACTGGAAAATCCTAAAGGAGAAGAAGTATTAAATCTGGGTCTGGGACTAGGAGCATAAGGTAAGGATCCTCTCCCTCTGGTTATATTTGGGGGAGGTGAAGGCGTGTACGAACGAGGAGGTTGACCTCCTCCCCAACCCCAATCGGACATTATTCACTTTTTTTTAATATATCAATTCAAGAAGACATTCGCGAATTTGAAGATATAAAAAAAAAAAAAAAAACGGGAAACTTTTTTCGACGATCGCGATTCGACTGCTTATAAATTCGAATTCAGACTGTTGCGTTAAAGAACGGAAGAGTTGGCTTGTGTTAGATTTGAAAAAATGTTATTTTTAGATTTATTCACCTCCTCTCAGTTTTCTCAGGAAAACAACAACAACAGGAGCAGCATATGTGCCAGCCACTCTATCAACATTTCTTACATGCATTTTAATTCAGAGTACCCGTCTGTACAAAATTTATTTTAAAAAAAACACGTGCAGAAAACAAATTTAAACGAAATTAATTTTAATTTCCTAAATAAAATTTTTTCCCCGTCACGTAAACAAAAAATTTATAATCAAATTTAAAATCATTTATTTTTATAATTTACTGTTTAGAAATTAAATTACGAATCGTTTTCGATTAAATATTTTCATTAAACTGTACCTACAAAATGTTTTTCAACAGTTTAACCGGAAGTGAAAAAAAAAAAAAAATGGCTGATGTTTAAATGATTTTCACATTTTGTCAACGTTTATCCCAGATTTTAGTTTTCCTTCCCGACTTTGATTTCTCACTCATCCGTTTATATTTTATAGAAAATCAAAGAATATTATTAAAAGAAACGGAAATAATAAATAAATTAAAAAAATTTGCCGGCAGCAGTCGATTATGACGAGAAGAAAATTTTTTTAAAACATTTCGGTTGTTTACTGAAAGAAAAATAATAAAAATTTAACGGAAATTTATTAAAGAGACACCTGGTTAACAAAAGGATAACTAATTTTAATTATTTTTAGTTTACTTACAAAACATCAGATGTCGCTCATTTTATTTATGTTTCGGTACAAATTTTCAGATGTCGTTTTAATGTTTTTTTTCTCTTTAACTTTATTTACAAAAAACAAACACAAAAAAAAATTATTTGATTACGTTTAAAATTTTTTTATTTGTTTTTACTAAATATTTTGCGTAATAATTAGAAATTAATATAAAATAATAATAATAATAATAATGAAATTAAATATTATTAAAATAATCAATTGTAAAGGGACAATGACAATATAAAAACCTCAATTTATTTATTTTTTTTTTAATGTCGAACGAAAAGAAGCTTATTGGAAATTATTCGTTAAATAAATTTAAATTATTTATTTATTTATTTTTTTAAAAATTTTATATCAGGTTTTTATTTAAAAAAAAAAAAAAAAAATTAGAAAACCTATTGCTTTTTAACTAACTTGAATTTCTTGTTAATATATCCATAATTTAAATAAAGTTTAAGTTAAAAAAAAAAAAAAAAAAAATTAAACGATTTGTATTGTAAATATTTCTTTTTTTTTTTTTATCTGAAAATAAAATTTACTTTAAATATAAATAAATAAATAAATAAATTCTATACTGTGTGTGTAAATTACAAAAAAATTGATTTTTACAAAAAAAAAAAAAAAAAAAGAAAATTTGCATATCGACTGGTTTTTCTTTTAAATAAAATCTGAATAAATAATATTAAAAACATTTTCCATTAGTTATCAAGCTTTAACGTTTTTCTTTTTTTTTTTTTAAAACCTCACAATAAAATCCTTACTAATACTATCTGACAAAAAAAACAAAAAATCTACCGTTATTTAAATATATATATAAAATTTGCAAAAATAATAATAATTATACGAAGAATTTTTTCCTTTTTTTTTTTTAACTCTTTTTAATTTACTCTCTATTTTTCCTTAGAATTTTTGTTCAATTTGAAATTACAAATCAAAATAAATAAAAAATGGTCCTTTCGAAAAATAAGAAGAAGAAGAATAACGGTATAATGTAATAATAATAATAATCAAAACATACACAAATAAATAAACATAACATAGGTAAATAATCCCCTTGTTTTGAATATGTAAAGTGTAAAAGAAAAAAATTTTGTGTGTGTGTGTGTATGTGTAGAGACCTAGAATTAGAAAGTTTTAATAATTCAAAAAAAAAAAAAAAAAACCGAACCTGGCGGGCCAAGTTGATCTGATATGGTAAAAGCAATTTAGCAGAGGGTAAAAGGTTATACCTATTGGTTCATTCCGGTGAAGTCAACACGAGAGAGAGAGAGAGAGAGAAAGACACACACCTGAACAGATATTGAACACCTGGCCAGAGAATCTTTAGGCATTTATTTCTTATATCACAATTATTATTATTATTATTAGCATTTGATTGGATTTTGATAATGCAGGAATAGTTTATGCAACCATTTTATTTTATTTTAAATTTAATTTTTTTTACAATTTAATAATAATTGGGGGGGGGCCGACATTATTTATTTAAAATTATCAACATTAACCATATTGAAGAAATAAATAAATTTAAAAAAAAAAAAAAAAAATCAAATCAAAGGTGAATAACTTTTTAATTGAGCTGGATTTATATAGCAGTAACACTTTTTTTTTTAAATATGGTGGACGTCGTGGTGGTAGTGGTGGTGGGGGTAGTAGTAATTATCAGCATTATTAGATTTTTATTTATAAACATAATGAAAAAAAAAAAAATTTATATATAAATCTGGTGTGTGTGTTTTTCTCTCTCTCAAAGACCTGTAATCGCCAATTATTATTATTATTAATATTTTTGGTGAATGTTGTCTCAAAGGTATATATTATTATTATTATCATCAGCTAAAAATAGCTGATATGAAAAACTTTGTAAACAACTTTTCATAATTAGATTTTTTTTTTTTTTTTACCATAGTGAAAGCAATTTTTTTTTTTTAAAAAAGACTCTCTTAGGCTAAAAATAATAATAATAATAATTGCGTTAATCCTGAAAGTAAAATTTTTGAATTTAATATTATAAATTATTTATTTATTTATTAAAAAACTTGTAATCGAGATGTATATACATACGCACAATATAATAATAATAATATTTTTTTTTTTAAAGAAAAAAAAAAAGCCATCACCCTTCGTTTTGAGGCAAACACTAACCGCAGCCAGAATTTTCCTTAAACTTGTTTTCCGGAATGTCGAGCCTGGCATTTTGAAAGTAGTTCTTATAATAATAATCAACAAGTTGTTTGTCTTAATGTAAATCAGGTAGTTTTTTTTTTTTTTTTTTTTAATATTAGAAAACGTATATTATTATTATTATTATTCAGCAAGAAACTATAAATAAATCAATAGTAGCAGTATGTATATATATTTTAAGAAAATAAAGGGCATTTGAGGTTTTTTTTAATAAAAATTCCTTATACCTTGTAATGTACCTAAGGCACTTCCGTATCAAAGTATCATATGAATAATCAAGGTGTGCAATATCGATCAATAATAATAATAATTGGTTGGTAATAATAATCGATAATTTTAAATTAATTTCAAGGACTTTAAATTATTATTATTTTTTCGTTCGAAAAAAAAAAAAAAAACGTTAAGGTTTCTTCATTTTTTATTTCTCAGTAACCGAACCTAAGGATCCAGGCAGTCTCATAAAGCTGATCTGACTAAATAAGAAAAATGAGAAAATACTAGCCCGTGTGTGTGTGTGTGTGTGTGCTTGTAAATATAAAAAAACTTTAAATTAAATATTTAAAACCATTTAAATTCTAATCTTTTTAAAAAAAATTATTACACGTATTTATTATAAAATGATTATTTATACGTTAATAAAACAAATCGAGTTTAAGATTTTCTTAAGAAAAAAACAGAAAAAAAAGAAAATTAATCATTTCTAATTAAACAAAATTTTCGTTTTGAAATTTTTCTTTCTTTCTTTTTTTTTTTTTTTAGTATTATACCTGAATTTATTATTATTGTCTGAAATTTTATTTCCTAATTTATTTCTATTAAAATAAAACATTTGACCTCTTAACTATACAAACAACATGAAAACATTAATCAATAACATGTTATATATATATAAATATCAATAAAAAAAAATCCTACAAACAAACAAACTCATATTTATATAATATATATTTTTTTTATATATATACAAACAACGTTCGTTCATCTACGTATTAAATGAATATTTTCAAGTAAAATAGAAATAGGCCTAGGCCTAGGCATTTCTCGGAAATTAAAAAGAGAGAGAGAGAAAAACAAGTTATTTTATGGTTTCAGGGCGTGTTACTCACAAGTAAGTAGTAGTCGTACGACAACACATTAATTTGTACCTAAGACACGTCGACTTGCAAATATCTAACCATCTATACGCACATATATATATATAATTATATTTGTACACACACACACGATGGTATATAAACACATCTATGTAAAGAATCAAGGACGTATAAGAGTTAAAAAACTTATTGATAAATAATAATAATAATAATTTATTTAAATACCTTTTTTGTTTTATCTTATAGCCTTAATTACAAAATTATTATTATTATTACTGTTGTTAAGGGTTGTGTGTGTTTTAGAATATGTTCGTGATATAAAAATTTTTCCGATTATTTGATAATTTTTACGTTTTTTTTTTAAATAAATAAATTTAATGAGTTCCGGAAATCTTAGAATTTAATATTCTTGACAGTCATTGGCAGGTAATTGGCAACGCCATATTTTTTATAAATTACTGTTTCCAGTTTTTTTTTTATTAGAGAAGTACTCTTCAAAGTTCTAAGTAAAAGCCATGACGTGCCAGTTTTTTTTTTTTTTTTTTTTTTTTATTATTAATAATTTTAAAAATTCTACGGAAAGCAAAATAAAAAGTCAATACTCAAAAAACAAAAAAAAAGGGGAAGGGAGAAAGAGAGAGAGAGAAAGAGAGAGAGAGACGAAAAAAAAAAAAATTAAGAGAAAAATAAAAACAGAAAAAAAAAGAGAGAGAGAGAGAGAGAGAGAGAGGAGGGAGAGGGAGGGGAAGGGGAAGGGGGAAAAAGGTGATGACCAAATCTGTGTAATCACGAAGAGTTCTTCTTCTTCTTCTTCTTCAAGGCCCTTCCCACTTAACAAGCCTTTC